TTTGGGAAGCAGTGACGACACGTTTCCTTTTCCAGACAAAGGCATGACGATCAGGAAGCTGGTGTTCCCTTTGAAGGGGAAACTGGCAACCTGCAGGAGAGGGAAGGGTTTCAAAGCTCCATCATTTCATAAGGACTTTACAAAACTACACCTGTTGTGCACATGGCAATAAAGAATCTGCGCCTGTGGTCACCTGTGCCTCCAGCTGTTGGTCGTTGAGCAGACGCAGAGGGTACTGAGGAGACTTCATCATGTCCACCAACACCGAGTTGCTGTTGTCCAGGTAAAACGCTCCCTTAGAGGTCACCTGGGGGTCAAACTGTGTCTGCCATGCACCTGAGAAACACAACAGGGAGCAAGAAGGAGGCATCAGGCAATCAGAAATGTGTTTCTCTTGTGTGTGCGTCCCGGAAACCATCTGACGTTAACCGACTAGCATCAATGCAAAGTTCTATTGTTTCGTAAAATCATTCAAGCTAGATATGAAACGTCACAAATTGTATCATGTTTTGCTAACCATTTATGTATTTCTTAAATACTTAAAAATATATCTTGAGGCACACTTTGGGGAAACATCTTCCTATATTCCTAATCACAAGACTCCTGCTTTGCTTATTTATAAATGAGGTGGCCCTTCACACTGAGCATTGGACGTGTGTCCTGTTTGCTGATGATGTTGTCCTTTTCCCTTCAATATGCAACAAAGCAATGTGGTTTAAATCTGCAGTTATTAATAAAATGAAGTCTGCCTTTGGTTTGCTTTTAGCCAGCACTTAACCATTTATATGTAGGATTATTTGAAGCAGAATAGGGCCTATTAAAGCACATAAGTCATGTGACAAAAGTACGTTAAAATGTTTGGGACTCCACTGCTCTTTCTACAAGGTGACCTGAAAATCCTTCACCATTTTGACGGTTGAAGAGGAACTGATTACGTGTTTTTTTTTAATGATAGAACATTATTTCTGTCCTGACATGAATCACCACGCTCTTTGGTGGGGGGGGTCACCTTTGAAGTAGACAGCGTTGATGAGCATGAGCACCACGCTGTGGGGAATACTCTCCATGAAGTTGTTGATCTGACCATTGGTGGCGTTCTCCACCCATTGGTTCACCTCCTCCACGGAGACCAGGGGCACCGGGGACGATTGGTACCTGAAGAATAAAACACATCTTTGATTTCAGAATAGGCATTAAAACAGGTATGGATGTAAGAAAAACAACAGAACTAAAACCCCCATTGTCTTAAAAACACATTCTCTAATATCTTACAGGTAGATAATCGTCACGTTGCCATGTCTGTAGTTTCTCTTCACCTTCCTATACTTTTCTGCCGCTCAAGTATTTGAGTATATTTCAATACCTTTCCCTGAATGCCCAGCAGCCGTCACTAGAGAGCTTATCCACCTGAGGGTCACATGACCTTATCCTTACGGTTGTTACCTGTTAACCCATTAAGGCCCACACACACCATGTTAACTACCGGCAATCTAAAGACGTTTTTTAGGCCTTCAGCGTCTAAGTTGTCTGAATTTGGTCCAAACTTTGAACGCTGATCCATTTTCATTCCTCAAGAGTATCTTTATATATCTAAAATGTGTACAGGATGTTAAAATGCATTGTCTTGTAATGGAAGTAAGTGTGTATTTGGCCTGACTGTAGTTGATACCTGGCCAGAGAGTCCTCAACAAAAGACAGCTCCACTTCAAACCCTGAGAGACGAAAGACAGAGAGTAGGGTTAAAACAAATCAAACACTAAATCTCTTGCAGACCCTCCCCAGCTCCACACTCATACCTGGTCTCAGGTACATGCGAGCGGCCACCTCCAGCGACGTGTTCCTGAAATGAGGAATGAGGGCTCCCAGGGTGTGATGGAAACACGGCAGCTCGGAGGCGTGGAGGCTCTCCAGGAGCAGCTTCTCTGTTTCATTGCGAGCACCTGAGAGAATGGAATAATAATAATAAAAGATCCTATTTTATTGCACACTGCAGACCTATCCCGAGGCCTTTTCTATAAATTACATTTTAATCGATGTTTCCATCCCAACGTTTTATAGGTTTTTTCCTTGGTTCGCGCTACACCCTTCCACCAGATCTCCAATAGTTGTTTCCATAACCCGTTTCCCCGCATTGCCATCCAGTGATTAAGACCAGCTCTAACAGGTCATGTGTTTTTTCATGACCAAATACTTTACCCTTCCACCAAGTTTCATGAAAATAAGGCCAGAACTGTTTTCCATTACCATGCTCACAAACAAACAAACCAACAACAACAAAACAGCAGTGTTCTACTGTGCAGAAAAACCATGCATGTATCCCTGGGTCTAAGCCTCACCCTTACACCAAGTTTCAAAATAATCCAGATAGTAGTTTTGTCAGTAAGCCTTCTGACTAACAGACAAACTATCAAACAAAGATAAAATAATGCCTGTTTCTGCCCAAAGATCTGGATCCACTTTATGGGTCTTTACTTGGACCACGGTTCACCATTCCACCAAG